CTAGCTGTGTGACCCCGGAAGATGGTCACATCCCCAAGAGCCAGTGTGGCTTCAGAAAGGGCCAAGGAATGGTCAATATAGTGTTTGCTGCTCAGCAACTCCAAGAGAAATGCCAGGAGTAGAACAGAGGTCTGTATACAATATTCATTGATCTGACCTTTGATACTGTCAGCCATGAGGTCTTCTAGAAGATCATGGTAAAATTTGGTTGAGAAATTCATCAGTATTATACACCAGTTCCACCACAGCATGTTTACACAAGTTCTGGATAATGGGTGATGCTCTAGCACTTTCCCAGTTAATAATGAAGTACAGCAGGGCTGTGTGGTGGCTCCCAAGCTTTTTAGCATGATGTTTTCAGCTATGTTTTCAGATGCCTTCAACAAGGATGAAAACAGCATCAAGGTCAGCTATTGCACTTATGATAAATTATTTAACTTGAAAAAGCTGCAAGCCAAGACTAAAGTGGAAGAAGAGTTGATGCATGACTTTCTATTTGCAGATGACTATGCACTCAGTACAGCCTCTGAGGCTGAGATGCAACAGATTATAGATTGATTCTGTGCTGCTTTTGCTAATTTTGGCCTGACAAAGCCAAAAAAATATAGAGAGGTTCTCTACCAGCCAGCACCACACCATCCATACATGGAACCACCAATTACAGCAAAGGGAGAAATTTTGAATGCTGTAGATAAATTCACTTATCTTGGCAGTATACTTTCCAGGAATGTATGTATAGATGATGAGGTTGGTGCATGCATTGCCAGAGCTAGAAGGGTTTTGGGGAGACTCTGAAGGAAAGTATGGGAGATAAGAGGTATTAGGCTGCCTACCCAACTGAAGGTCTACAGAGCCACTGTGCTGACCTCATTGTTGTATGCCTGTGAAACCTAGATAGTATACCAGTGCCACTTCAGGAAACTGAACTGCTTCCATTTGAATTGCCTTGGAAGATTCTGAAGATCATCTGGCAAGATAAGGTACTAGACACTGAGGTCCTTTCTTGAACTGAACTGCCAAGCATTCAAACTCTACTGCAGAGATGAAATTCCAATGGACTGGCCATGTTATTCAAATGCCAAACATATGCTTGCCTAAAAAAGATTATTTTATGGAGAACTCACACAAGGCAAGTGCTCACATGGAGGTCAGAAGAAGTGTTATATGGACACTCTCAAGGCGTCTTGGAAGAACTTTGAAATCAATTGTGAGACATGAGAGACACTGGCATAGGACTGCCCACCATCGCATACCTGAGTCAAAGGAGGCTCTGTGCTCTATGACTGAAGCAGAATTGTAGTAGCTCAAAAGAAATGTGAGATGTGCAAATTTAGAGACCTCTCCCCCCCAAATGTTCAAACAGACTATTTGTGCCTGACCTGTGTCTTCCAAGCTAGTATTGGTCTGATCAGCCACAGTTAAGACACCCAGTACATTGACCCCAACATAGTGACATCAGTTTGGTCCTCTTTAAGTATGAAGGATGACAACCAACCAGGGCATAAACCAGCATCTCACACTGTATACCAACATAAGGTCAAAATGAGTACATGATTTAGACCGAAACAAAAAGGGTGATGACAGCATAAGCAAATTAGGGGAGCATGGAAAATTTTACCTGACAGATAGATAGATAGATAGATAGATAGATAGATAGATAGATAGATAGATAGATAGATAAGGGAAGCCTTTATGACTAAACAAGAGATAGAGAGAAAAGCATGCAAAGTAAAATGGATGGTTTTGATTAGGAAAGTTAAAAGGTTTTACACAAACAAAACCCATGCAGCTAAAATTAAAAAGAAAGCAGGAAACTGGGGGGGAGGGGGGATTTAAAGCAAGTTTCTCTGATAAAGGCTTCATTTTTCAAATATATAGGGAACTGAGCCAAATAGATAAAAATAATAACACTCCTGAGCTGATATTGCCAAAAGAAATAGTGAGGGACAAACAGCACAACTTCCTCCATCTTAGTGACCTGAGCACAACTCTTTCCATCTTGTGTGAAGCATCAGCGCATCAATTAAAAAACATCCTCGCCACTCTCCTCACACCAATGATCCCTCCACAAGGACATGCTGTGTGATAACTTCTGTTCAGTAAGACTTCAAAGGTTCCCTGATTTCAGGAACCAATTTGTTCATTTAGATAAAGGTATCTTATCTAATCCACCAGCTCTTGCAACATACCCTCCCAATCTCCCTCTGCCTGAAACTTCCCCCTACCTTTATGGTTTAAGCATATGTAAGTCTCACGCTGGGGAGTCTCTGCCCATACAGGCGGGGCTCCCTTGCTGGCAAACTCAATAAGCCCAAAGTTTAATACTCTGGGGCCTCTTTATTCCTGCATCACCCACAATGTGAACAGGGAGTTTTCAGAAGAAAAAAATCAAAGCTATCAATAAAACATGAAAAAAATTGGCTCTAAAACACTACAAATTAAAATAACTCTGAGGTACCATCTCATACCTATTGGATTGGCTAACATGACAGAAAATAAAAATAACAAATGTTGAAGGGGATGTGGGAAAATAGGGTCACTAATGTACTGTTGGTGGAGTTGTGAACTGGTCTAACCATTCTAACCAATTTGGAGCTATGCCCAAAAGGCTATAAAACTGTGCATAGCCTTCTACCCCACAATACCACTGCTAGGGCTGTTTCCCACAGAGATCAAAGGAAAATGAAATGGACTCATAGGTACAAAAGTATTTACAGCAGCTCTTTTTGTGGTGGCAAAGAATTGGAAATTATAGGAATGCTTGTCAGTTGGGGAACGGATAAACAAGTCGTGGTCTATGATTATGATGGAATATTATTTTATTATAAGAAGTCGTCAGCAGGATGGTTTCAAAAAACCTGGAGAGCCCAAGATGAACTGACTGCAGAGTGAAGTGAGTAGAACCAGGAGAACATTGTATACAATAACAGTAACATTATAATGATGATTAACTGTGAAAGACTTTGCTACTATGATGAATACAATGATCCAAGGTAATTCCAAAGGACTCATGATGGAAAATGCTCTCTACTCCAGAGCCAGAACTAATGAACTCTAAATGCAAATTGGTGCATACTTTTTTAAACTTTACTTTTCTTGGGTTTTTTTCCCAATATGGCTAAAATGGAAATGTTTTGCATGACTTCACACCTAGAATTGATAGTATGTTGTTTTTCTTCTCAGAAGGTGGGGGAGGGACCTGAGGGAGGAAAGAATTTGGAACTCAAAACTTTAAAAATGAGTTCTGAAATAAATGAAATATAAACAAAACCACGTCGTATCACCTAACTGTGGCTATTCCCCACCTTAACCATTTTATAGTTGAAGAAACTGAGGCAGGCAGATTTAGATTTAGAATTTATTCAGCTTTTTAAGATTTCAAAATCATAGATTTTAGTTTAAAGAAGGAACCTTAGGCACCATCAAGTCTAACCCTCCGCCCATAATTTTATAGATGAGGAAACTGAGGCTCAGTCTGTGGACAAATCAGAATCACAACCCTGTGAAGTAAGCAAAAGATTCCAAATTGATGCCTCTGGCCTGAAATTCTCCAGCAGTGAATGCCTGTAGTCCTTATTATGGAAGAGGCTGAGGTTGGTGGATCGCCTGAGCTCAGGAGTTCTGAGCTGCAGGGAAGCTAAAGTTGATCTAAGTGTCCATATTGAGGCTGCACACCAAGATGGTGACCCCCTGAGAGTGGGGGAACCACCTGGCTGCCCAGAGGAGACCAACCTAGGGCAGAAACAGAACAGACCAAAGCTTCCATGCTCACCAGCAAGATCAGGTCATGAGTGACAGCTACACTTTCAGCCTGAGTGTGATAAGAGAGTCTCCTTTTACAAGGTCAATGGCTAAGAGGGTCTTGGGGTTATGACTATGTCTCCCTCCATTTAAATAAACTATATTTAGAATCTTTTTGGGGAGGCAATTGGGGTTAAGTGACTTGCCCAGGGTCACACAGCTAGCAAGTGTCTGAGGCCACATTTGAACTCAGGTCCTTCTGATTCCAGGACAAGCACTCTATATTGAGAATCTTGAAGCTATAAAAGTCCATCAGAATTAAGTCATCATAATTACAGTGACTAAGTCTGGCTCTGAAAGGAGAACAAAAGGCACCACCCTCCTTTCTTTGTGGAGGTGGGGGACTATGGGTACGGAATACTGCATTTATTGTCATTCACTTGATGGATGTATGATTGGTTTTGCCTTACAGCCTTTGCCCCTCACCTTCTTTTTTTATTCTTTGTTTTATGGGATGGCTCTCTGAGTGGTGAGAAAAGGGAAGGACACATTTGGAAATAAAGGTGATATAAAAACAAGAGATAGCAATTTATTTTTAAAATAAGATTATAAAACCTTTCTTCTCACAAGACTCCTAGGAAAGAGTACTGTGTACTTCGTCAGACTTAGTTAAAGATTTTTGTTTAACTGTTTGTCTTGGTTATAAAAAGCAGTTCATGTTTTATACCAAATCCTCTATTATGTTCTGGTGTGTACATGGCAGTTTTTTTTCTTTTCTCATTTTCTATTTAATTTAAAATAAATTTTAGGGCAGCTAGGTGGCGCAGCGGATAGAGCACCTGCCCTGAAGTCAGGAGGACCGGAGTTCAAATCCAGCCTCAGACACATAACGCTTACTAGGTGTGTGACCCTGGGCAAGTCATTTAACCCCCACTGCCAAACAAAAAAGAAGAAAGAAAGTTAAAGAAGGAAGGAAGGAACAAACGAAAGAGAGGCAAAGAATGGCTTCTATTACCTAGTCAAAAAATAAAATAAAATAAAATCTGGGAGGGGAAGCCCCTTAGGGTTGGTTGGCTGAGAGCGGAAGAATTGGCCTCAGGCCAAAGAGGAAGGAGCAGGTGCCGGCTTCAGGCCTCACCAGCACTGTTGGAGTTAGGGAGCTTTAGGGCCAAGCTTTTCCCACCCCCACCCCACCCCCCTGGCCGAAACCATCATCCCCAACAGTCACACCTGCAGACATTTGTTTGTTTTTCACATTTTTATTTTAAAGTGAATTTATTCTTTTAAAGTGAATGAGATTTTTTTTCCTAGTAGAAAAAAAAAGGTGAAAAAAGAGACAGATGTTTATCCAGGAGACCAGAAACGCTGCTTCCCCCACCCTAGGGAAGCCAGCGCATCAATCTGCCGGCTCCCAGGAGATGGAGGGGCCCTGAGATATTCCTCCCCAACCCTGCCTTGTTTCCCTACAGGAGCACAGAGTCCTGGATGCCAGAAGGGGAGTTTCCAGTGTCCCCCAAGAACGCAACGGGAAATCTGCTAGGACCGCATACCTCTAGAGCATTCATTTGTTGAATCAGAAGATAGAAAAATGATGAAAATATTAAAAAACCAGACGTGTCTGTGAGAAGACCCAGGAAAGCTAAAAATGGCCATCAGAGAGATCACAACCCAAAACGCGGCCGTGACGCCAGACCTTCTGCCCCGGACCCCAAGCTGTTTAAGAGGGTTCCCGACGTGAAGGTGGCCCCCGGCCTGATCCCTGGGTGCAGATGAAATGACCCCCGGTTGCTCCCTTCAGCACCAGGGGCCGAAAAGGTCCCCATCGGTAGTGGTCTCAGCCCCTCAGGACCCAAGTGGGCAGCAAGTCTAATTAGCCTCTATGGAGAGAGCCTCCGGGTCCAACCTGGGCGAGCCATAATAAGGTGGAAGTACTGGGTTTCAGAACCAGGGCACCGAAGACATTACTACATGGGGGAGGGGAAGATGAGAGGGAACAGAGGGAGGGGAGTAAGGCTCATATCAGCTTGTGTTCTCTTGGCTGGCTGTGCAGTACACAGTTCATCCTGGCTTCTTCTCAGGGAGAAGGGGAAAGAAGTACTCAAAGAGAGGGGCAGGGGAGGACCAGGCTTAATGCCTCCCAGGCGTTTCAGGATCCTAGCGTTGGGACAGGCTGAGGGATACCTAAATTACTGGAGAAGTCAGGGGTCAAGCTATTCCCAGACTGGCTCTCACAAAACCTTCCATCCCCAAATGCCCAATTTGAGAGTCCTCGAGGTCGAGACTTTCTGTCCCTGCAAGTCTTTGACTCTCTCTCTCTCTCTCCCTCTCTCACATACACACATATACACACACTAAATGTGTGTGTTCATGGCTGTACATATAAAAAGATGACATCATGGCCACACGGCTGCCATGGCCAGGCAGGGGAGGTCACTCAGGACTTGCTGCCGGCAGGCTGTCCATCCTGGGGGTCGTCCTGGAGGAGGGGAGTCTGGGAGCTGGGGAGCTGGTCTGATTGGGGGCCCAGCCCCTCGTGGAGCACTGGGTGTCCTCTGTGGATGAGAATGGACTGGGTTACCTCTCTTCCACTGGCACGTCCCTACCACCCTCTAGCCCCCTCCCATTACCACCTTGGCATGACTCCACCTGACAGGGAACCCCCCTTCCTCTGGGGAGTTCTAAGGCCCACATACCTTCCCTTGGAGATAGTTTATTTTCTGGAGTGACCCAGAGAATCAGAACTGTAATTATCATGTCTATTCAATTACATATTGTCTCCCCCATGAGAATGGACAATAAGTTTGTGGAGAGCAGAGACTATTTTTTGCCTTTCTTTCTGTCCCCATCCCCTAGTATACACCAAGTGCTTAATAAGTGTGTGCTGATTGATTGACTTTGTATTGATCTCTTATTTTACAGATGGGGAAATGAGTGAAATCCATCTACCCAAGGTTTCTTCATCAGTCTAGTAGAAGAGACGGGATGGGGACCCAGCCTCCCCAATCGAAGGCCAGGACTCTTTCTGCACCATCCTGCCTCACCTTGCCTCAAAAAAAGGAGCGTTCACCTGATGCCTGCCTCGTCTTCCTAAGCCCAGAGGTATCTATCTCTATCAAGCTGGTATTTTCCTTCTGCCTGGATCCCTTGCCAGTCTGGCAGATCCTCATCCCTCGAACCTCTCCCTTAGCTCTCTTCTCTGATCCCTCTCAGGTGAATAGGAAACAGAAACCTAAGAAATCCAGGCAGAGGTGTGATGGTAAATGTTTAACAACCAGCCCTCCCAAACCCATCATGCACTTTTATGTGTAATCAGTATTTGTTGACTCTTTCTGAAGACTAGACAATCAACAGAACCATTAAACAAGGCCTGAATTGCGATGTTTGGGGATTTCCTAGGTGTAAGTGCTCACACTGAGAATTTAACAATCCCACTTACATCCAGCTCACCCCTGGTTTGAGGTGCCACCAAATAATACATGTGATTAATTCTTGCAATTAACCCATGCTTGAACTAAATATTTCCCCCCCACACTTTGCCCCCCCATTCTGAGAATGTTTCCATCAGGAAAACTTTGGATTCCATCATACTACTGGTACCCAAGACATCCTCGTCCATGTTCATCCCTGGAAGGTCAAGTGTTGACCCCATCCAGAAAGGGGAGGGGGGTAAGGGAAGGCTGGCCCACTACAGCTTAATACACAGGAGGGTCCAACTTGGGAAAGCTCCCCAAATTAAGCAAAGGAAAGAAATCAGGTGTGTAACAACCAACCATACAAGGTGAAGGAGGAGGGGGGATGTGTCTTCATCAAAATTTAAGGCGGCCATCCCCTAACAAACACATTTTAAGGCAGAATCACAAATCCTTCCTGCTTCATTTAGGGGGTCAGAGTTTAGTGGGCAGGGGAAAAATCGAGCCATGGTGTTTAGACACTGCTGAAGAGATGTCCTAAAATGCATAATCATAGTATAAGAAACGTCACCCTTTATCTTGTGTGGTCCGCGTTCCACCATAGATGGTCAGCCCCTTGAGGACCTGTACCTCAACCCTGTGGGACCTGAGCCCCTTTCAGTGTATATCAGAGGTCTGCCAAGGGGAAAGCAAGTTAATTAAGGCCCCTAGAATGAGCCTTCAAGCCCCCATGCCCAGAACACCCAGGGCTCCGATGCCAAAGGGTAGTAGGAGAGTCAGCATCATGAAATGCATAGTCAACCCCCTCCCCATTCACATATACTCCCATTGGCCAAGTTCAGCAGTGGTTGGGGGTGGGGGGGAGGCATGCTGCCTCTTGAATCAATAAACAAACACGTATTTGGGGCTGGGGGTGGAGGCCTAGGGAAAGAAAGAGTAATTAATACTTGTACAAAGCAGGGCCAACCAGTATCCCTGCTCATCAGCAGGGGGAGGCAAACATTTGAATAATCCCTCTGCTCTGAGTCCCATGAGGGTAGACTAATAAACTAAATTAAGCTGATGCCAGTAATAACCCCCTTCCCCTCCTTCCCTCCTCCCCTCCTCCCCTCCTCCCCCAGGCCCACACATCTAAAAATATGCCAGCACCTGGCTGGCTTCTCTTACAGTTGATGCCTGAAAGGCTCCCTGGAGGCCCCCCCCAGAAACCCCTATGGAGCCTCCTCTTTTGGGGGGTGGGGGTGGGGCAGGGAGGAGGAGCTGGCCCTCTTCCTGTATTCAGGCTGAGGAGCCCAGAGTCAGTTCCTCCCATATCTAGGACCCATGACTTCTAACATTCCAGCTCTCAATCTGCCAGGATAACTATGCTAATAAGAATTAAAGGCATCCTAGCCCACCCAACTCATTTTCCAGACACAGATTTCCAAGACCCAGAGAAGTTAGTCTCAGAGGCAGAATTTGAACTCAACTCAAGTCCACATCCTGAACTCTGGCCACTCCATCATAATGCAGCACCCTCTTCTCTACCCTCTCAATTTCAGCCTAGAAACCCCACCCCTTGGAGGGGAAAACCCATTACCTTCTAAGGCAATGATCCTACGGTCAGGATTTATGGAGGGAGCTCCCGGGAAGTAACAAAGAAAATGATCAACCCCGGGTCGGGGGAGAAGAACAAAGAATTCTCTGCTGCCCTTCCCCTCCACCCTCTTCTCTCTCCATCCTCGGAAACCACAGGCAGAATCTGTCTAAGGCCAGGGAGGAGGCCGCTAAGCTAAGCAGAGAACCCACCAGGCTCTTGGGAGGCCAAATCAGGATTAGTGGAGACAGGCCTCAGGCTCTAGCTTTCCCCTCTGCCCTCCTCTCAAGGGCCAGTGCCAGCCAAGGCATGCACACAGAGAGGCAGTGTCATGCAAATCCCAAAATCTGAAGCCAGAGGGGCCCCAGGGAGATGATTTCCCCCAATGTGGAATAAGCTGGGGAAAAGAAAGCCTTCTGTTTCATGGAGCTGGTACAGAGGGAGCTTTAGCAGAGCCTGTGGGTTATAACTCAGCCGAATTCCCCACCTCCCACATACAATTTAAATAAGGCACTTTCATAGATGAGAACCTGACGACTTCATTTTCATGTTCTACTCCCTGCCAAGTGATTTAAGCAAATGTGTGGGGGCAGGAGGGGGGAGGCCCCTGCCAAAGCACTGAGTCAAGACCCACAGCATTCACCCCATCCTGTAATCAGTGGGCCTGCTATTTATTTCAGAAACTTGTACTCGCTCTCTCTGTAGATTTTTTTAAAAATTCTTTTAAATCATAAGCCAAATGATAGGTCTGCCCTCTGTGGCTTATAAACAGTTTCAGAGATCAAGGAACAAACATTCAGAGGGAGAAAACAAAAAACAAAAAAGTCTGCTGCTTTAAAGTTAGCCCAAAATGGGAAGTAAAAGCCATTTTGTCTTGGGCCTCATCTGTAAAATGGGTATAATAACAATTCCAAGCCCAACCTCCCAGGGTGGTTGTGAGAGTATGACAATGAATGGGAAGTGCTTTGCAAACCTTGGGGAAAAAAAAACTACAGAAATGGGAGCTTTGATTCCTATTAAACCTCAAATGACATTATCATCTCTGCCCCACCCCCCCCAACTTTGAGACCTGTTCCACTCTCAGCGGGTACTTCATTAAAAAAAAGCAACAGAGGAAGTACAGGACAGTAGAAAGAGCACTGGGTTTGGAGTCAGAAGCCCAGGGTTCAAATCTTGCCTCTGTCTACTCACTAGCTGGATATGACCTTGAAAAGGTCACACAGGTATCGTAAGTATCAAAGGTTGGATCTGAACTTAGATCCTTCTAACTCCAAAGCCAAAACTCTTTCCATCTATACCCCTCCCCACCAGAATGGCTATTTTAACAGCTGGTCTAAAGTAACAGATACATTTTTAAAGTCTCCAGGTACTCTAAAAGAAGCTGAAGCTGAAGGAAGTGACCAGAGACCGCTAGGTGGCGCAAGTAGATAGAGCGCCAGACCTGGAGTCAGTAAGACTGAGTTCAAATGTTGCCTCAGGCACTTCCTAGCTGCATGACCCCGAACAAGTCAGTTTCACCTCTGCCTCAGTTTCCCCATCTGTAAAATGGAGATAATTATAGCACCTATACCTCTCAAAGTTGTTGTGAGGATCAAATGGGATAATATTTGTAAAGCCTTTCACAAGGTTTGAAGTGTTATATAAACTAATTTACATAATTATAATATGATCATCATCATTATTATTTTCACTAAGATCCACGGTGTGTGAAATGTACAAACGTCATTTTACCTGGTTACCCACCTACAGTCGGGCTTCCTGCAGCACTGTCCCATTAGGAGCAGGGGTCATCAGAGATTCTGAATAGGACTGAATGGCCTCTGAATTCTTTGAGACCTTTTTATTACTACTCCAAAATAAAAAGAATGTTTCCTAGAAGATAACCAAGCTAATTTATAGTTCCAGTCGGGAATGAACAGTTTTGTTTTGTTTTTTTTTAATACAATTCTTAATTTTTAAAAAAAATCTCGATTAGCCCCATGTGAAGGTTAATGCTCAAGCCAGCTGACTGATTAAGGTGACTTGTGTATTATATTTGGGGCAGGATTTTTAAAAATTGGTTTCGTAGCTCATTTGTTTCAAAGGCATGTTCAAAAACTGATTCATCTTCCCCACCCCACCCCCCATCTCTCTCAAGAGTAGAAATCAATAGTCAGAAATGATTCCACCAGAGTTCAAGCCAGTCTTAAAGGATCCCTCTAAGGACTAAAAATGAGGCACAGGCTCTGGATGTAATGTGAAGGGTAAAGGGGTATGGTTCTAGGATGACAAAGTGCCTTGAGTCCATGTCCCATGGACTGGACAAAGGAACCGGGTATCTCTAGCCTGGAGAAGACTTGGGGTTTGGGGGTGGAGGGACAGGATCACTGTCTTCAAGTATCTGAAGGGTTATCACAAGGAAAGGAGGTTGTGCTGGTTCTTTTAATTATCGGAAGGGCTGTTGTGTGAAACAGAACTAAGGCATGTTCCCTTTGGCCTCAGAGGGGAGATCTAGGAGTTGATAAGGGGACAATTTTAGGTTTGATGTCAGGAAAAGCTCTTTACCACTGGTACTTCCTCTAAGTAG